GTAACCGGCTTTCTAGCCAACCTAGCCGGGTTCGCGCGTTTCCCTCCCCTCCTTTGGAGGCTCTTCTGCTTTTGCAACGCCGGCATCCGCTCGCCGGAGGCTAGGAACCCTCGGCGCACGTAGTACCGTACCCCCATGCACTCGTACACGCCGCGTGTACATTCGGCTCAAACGTGTTATGTCATCCTGTAAGTAATGTGGCTTCTCTCGGCGCAAACTCACGCCGCGAATAAATTACTTTCTGTTAATGGCTGGAAACTCCGCGATTACTATTGTCGAGATGCGACGGGGTTCGAGGTCTCCCGATACCAACGCTTACACATGCAAATTTTTATTTAGTCGAGGCTTAAAGAGATTTTTTTTTAGCGCCGTTGGGGTATCTTCCGTGCTGAAAGTCAAATGGGCCGGTTCTAAATAGAATTAATTTCGAGCACTTTGGAAGTCTGATGAACCCTCCACGACTTTCCAACAGTTTGCCTTCCTACTCCTTTTACGAAATACTTTCTTGAATTCATCTATAAACATGGCCGAGCAATATCGATGCTCCGTTAGGATATATTTGATGTGCCATCCTCGACGAGTCGATGAACTAAAATTATCAATCGTCAAACCGTATTTGTTATACGTAACATCAAAATTGGGACCACAACCTACACTCGAACGCCATCTGACTTTTATCGAACGAACAATTGTCATGTTCCATATAAAGCTCTAATAAAATCGTCCAAACTATTTTAGCTTATATTGCTTCTATTGCTTCGAGGCTGGTAAAAATTTTCTTATTTCGCCAAAAAAGTTCTTCCAGCGGGAAAGGTGTCCAAGTTGAGAAATCGTTTCCCTGACCAGGGACAAGAGCGAAGGGGGGGAGGCTCCTGGTCTCATCGCGATGGCCACGAATTGTTTGAACCGAGTGTACAGGCGCAAGAACCAAGGTGCAGCAACCTCGAAGTTGCTTGAACTAGGGAGGAAGAGAGAAGGAGAGCTGGTGCTGCGCCGCCTCCTGGACGAGGGTCCAGTTTCCTGGGTCGTCTACTCGCGCGTTCAGTTACTGGTTCTACCGGAATCTTCCTGGAAGCGTGTGTGCGATCGTTGAACGCAGAATTAGAATCGACGACGTAGGGTGGCCGATTACCCGGCGCCTGGCTTTCTATTTCGCTGTGGGGATTTTCTTCGGTGCCTTCGGTTCTTCAAAATCCTTGGTCGATACCTTCGAAGCTTTCCTTACGCTTGGTGTAAATTTCTCTGGCTTGTTTTTATTTCGTTGAACAAAATGGATCACAAAGGAAATTGTAACAAATACTATTATATTCGTTGGACCATTTTCCACATATTCAGGATCCAAATGTAGACTAAAACGGGGAATTTTAGCAGTGGAGTAGAATAACATCTTCGGTTGTAGCTTCGATGTACACCTAGTATCTCTGTTTGTTTGTTCAACACACATGTGCAGAAGTTGTTCTCTTTGAACTGCATTAATGGTAATCAAATTCCATTGTCAAAAGCGAGGAATAACGAGCGCGAAATAATACCACCGGTGAATTGGATCCCCCATGGTTGATGAACTCAACGGTAGACGTGTTTACCGCAATATAGAGACGCTTCTGTAAAACAAGGCTGGTTGTTTAACCAGGCCACATGTATATACCTCGCAGCGGAAGACTTTAATTGTGCTCTGGAATTCGTATCTTTTCCATCGTTAAGGAAGTCTATCCGAGATTTATTCCACGTCAGGTGTCTATAATATCAAGTCCTACCATCCAGCATGCTTTCACGATCGATGGTGGAACTAAACAGCGGATTTTTCAGGCCAAGTCTAGTCATAGATTCGGATCTAGCTGCCTAAACGCACGAAGATCAGATTTTCCGAATACACCTTTCGCGTGGCAATCCATTAACACTGTTTCCATGCCACGTTAATCGATCAGGATCGGATGGAGGATCAATACCAATTTATTTCGGTCTCGATTGCACAGTCGTCGCCCAACGCCTGACGTGACTCCGATCATTTGAGTTCGCATAGATTTATCAAGTTTCCTTTCCGATGGTAACCTGTTTGCTCTATATTTTGTGTTCCATTCCCGGTTTCTCTAGGCTCATAAATCATATTAATTGGCTGGGTATCTCGAGAGTAATTAGGGTAGGTCGAAGCGTGGTATGGATTCGGTCGTGGTGCACGTTGTGGGTTACGTAGTCATTCCGATTTCGAAATTACTCCGAATGAATACCTACGACGAGAGAGAGACCAGGGTTCATCTTTTCTAATCGAGAGAGACTCTCCGGAGGAGGCAAAAGTCCGTGAGCAGCCTTTTTACGGTTCGCCTGCGGCACTCCCTACCCACGATCCGCAACACTTCGTGGGTTCACGTGTAGCCTCTTGCCGGTCAGACTTGTACCTGTCCTCGCCGATATCCTCGTGAAAGCACCTTTGCCGTACATTCTCTCCTGGGATCGTGACGATGGAGCAGCGTGCCTTTTTCTTGCACCTCGTGGTAGGGATCTACTTAGACTTATTACGGGTTTTGGAAACAGGTCGGCCTTTTTGCGCGGCGGAAAGGATACGTTCCTAAGCGACGCGTCGTGTCGCCGCTGCAAATACCGTCTTAACGACGCTTGGGCCCCATATTCGAGACGCTATGCTCGCCTTACGCCTCCGTACTGTTCATTTTCTTCTGTACTCGAGTACTTTTACTCTTGGACCATTTATTTTCAACGAATTCGAATATTACGAGGTTACGCGGTCGGTAAATTATATTTCGTTGAATAGATTGATTATTCCAGTACTTGAATACTCTACTTGATCATTCGAATACTCGAATACATTGAATACTGATTCAATTTCTACATATTCGTAGTATTCAGTGAGCTAGAAGTCACACTCTTCAAGTACAGCTTCCATTTCGAATATTTGATTATTCCAGTACTCGAATACTCTACTTGATCATTCGAATACCTTGAATACCTTGAATACTGATTCGATTTCTATATATTCATAGTATTCAGTGAACTAGAAGTCACATTCTTTAAGTACAGCTTCCATTTCGAATATTATTTGGTTATTCCAGTACTCGAATACTCTACTTGATCATTCGAATACTCGAATACCTTGAATACTGATTCAATTTCTATATATTCGTAGTATTCAGTGAGCTAGAAGTCACACTCTTCAAGTACAGCTTCCATTTCGAATATTTGATTATTCCAGTACTCGAATACTCTACTTGATCATTCGAATACTCGAATACCTTGAATACTGATTCAATTTCTACATATTCGTAGTATTCAGTGAGCTAGAAGTCACACTCTCCAACTACAGTTTCCATTTCCAAAATTTGATTATTCCAGTACTCGAATACTCTACTTGATCGTTCGAATACTCGAATATTATGAGCACAAATAATCGAATACTGGATCCGACTAGTCCCAGATCCAGTTCGAACCTTGCAACCTGCAAGTTTTAGCACCGCGTTGGCTGGTTGCAACCGCCATTATCAAGATAAGTGCGATCCACGGAAAACTAATTTGACTCGATGGGAACTGATGCTTCCAAATAATATGCACCTGTGAACGGCGAAGACTAGTTATCTTGTAGCTTGGAAACGACTTTGTAATGGTCTTAACGGGTTAACTCGAAGTTGGTAACCACGCTCGTTTGCGAACCGTTAAGATATCCTCTGGCTCTTACAACCGACACAACATTGCACTTTCGAGATACTTCTTGCTTTGTACGTCTTTATAATAGAGTCGAGGACCAATTCTATCAAAAAATGCGGATGCAGGTTTTTGATTCTTTGGTAGAAGTCGTGTACTTTTCCGAGCCACTCGTGTTAGCTCTATGACAGACCTTTTATCGCCATCCTAAATTGGGATAACTAATGCCACCAGCGTGTTCACCCTCGGATACCAGCATGATGAAGTTCTTACGAAATAATACTTCTTCGATCATCCCTAATCAGCGGCGTCACGCGATCCGAAAGTGGCTCGCGTTCGTCGTTATTATATTCGTGGCATAAATACCACCCACGTGCCCAGTGCTCCTTGGTGGATCTAGCCAGCGAATAGTTCCCAATCCGACCGTGGGAAGAAACAGTCGTCCTTTCCTTCTGTGGTCAGGAATTGAGGTGAGCCACCCCATTGGTCATTCTGGGGTCTACCAGTGTTCGTTTCTGGTGCTCCAAGACAGTTGGCATGCTTCGAGATTCGCAAGAATACATAATTCGATAGACCACGTAGATCCGAGTTAGGCTTAAGAATTAGATTTTCTTTTACAAATCATTGGTCGAAGATAGTCAAATTCACAGTTTGCACACGCTGTCGACGATCGTTTAAAACGTTGCCGCGCTCTCGCGATTATGTTGTTGCCGGCGTACGTTGTCTTATTGATTTATTTAGCCGAGCATGGAGTTTCGAAGAAAGTTGCGGATCGACAGATGCGAGTAAGTTCCACGAGAAACCGAGAAGTTATTTGAATTGTCTTCACGGCCAGGCGCAACAAGTTGACAGACGCCGTTCCAGATACAGAAAAACTTTACGATGTAATATCGAGTTACGCAACTTAGTCGGTGCGTTGTTGTGAATGCGAAATGGGACGTTCCGTTTCACGGTTTGGTGTAATTCGTCGGGCGCGAAAGAATCGTTCTAACGAAGGTGTGCTGTTAAGTGTTGTTGAAAGCTGCTCTTCGCATTAAACAGAAACACTTAAAAGAATATTCATTTGTATCTACTCGTTCATATTTTTTTTATAATAAAAATTTTCCACAACTTCAGAATTCAAAATATGTAAAATCAGTAATTAAGAAGTTTGAAATTGGCGCCTCGAGGCTAGCTGCAGTTACCTAGAGAGCGCTAATGTTGCCTAGATGGCGATACGATGTATTTCTACGATCCCTCAGACTCGTATCATTCAAATCTCATATTTAAACCAATTTTCAAAGCTTCGATTGGTTGTGATACTGTTAATTTTGGGCAGTTACAATGACGTCCGGTCGTTTTTGATTTTCCAGACTCACGGAACGGCTCCTCGGATTTGGTGGACATGCCTGCTGGTACCGTTCCTAATTTGGGCGCCGTGGCCGGGGTCGGTAGCGAGGACATGGCATCCTTGTGGGCATCCTACGCCATGGGACTGAAGAAGACGCCGCCGCCTGGGTCGTCGGCGACGCCCTCCCGATCGGATCGCGACCGCGAGTCCAGTCCACCGGGGGGCGAGGGGACGGGGAGTGCTCACGACGAGACCAGCAGCAGTGGTAATAAAGAGGACGAGGACGATGATGACGAGGATGCCGACGAGAGGCTGGATCCCAGACATCATGACCCGGAGCGTCTGAAGGCTTTCAACGTGAGTTCGCGCTTTACGTAATTCTCGTGGTCGGCTTCTTTTTTGGGACGCGGTGGTATTGGAGGTAGGGCGGGGGAGTTCTCAGCGACAAGCGTCTGGGAAGCACCGCAGAGTCCTTAAACAGTGTTACCCAATGGCAAAGTGGAGCACCGTTAGGGTAAGAGACGATATCCTTGGTGACACAATTTTTAGGGACGAATAGCACTTGCAATAAGTTTTCTCGTTTCTCAATTACAACGACCTTCGCGAAAGGTTTTATCATTGATATTCTTATCCTCTGGTCACACCTAGACGATACTCGTAGTCGCTAGAAATCTCGTTTCGTTCACTGCAGGAGCGTTTCAATATTGTTTATGGACGTTCTGTAGACAATAGACGTCGAGTGACCTCGCGAGAATCCAGTGTATTTAAACACACATTCAGTTAAATGAGATCCTTGGACTCGCTTTAACATCGGCTCTTGTCATCCGTCTGTACTTGTTTTTAGTAGTATCAAATGTCACCCGTTAGGTTGTAAACCTGAGCGATAATCTAACCGCCTGGTCTCCCGTCCGCTATTCGCTCTCCCACACTTAGGTCGGCACATTATATCTTATTAAACGCGGCGAGCTATGCGCAAGATATTATCAGATGTTTGTAAACAGTCGAATGGAATCAATTGTACCAGTTTCTCGATGGAGTTAAGACAGCATAGAACTTGCTGTAACATTTAAGTCCCACGTGTTAAAGCCATCTCCATGACCGTGAATGACGTCACGAACTATTTCCTCTTTTACCGTAACGTTACGTGCCTGTATAATTGAGAGATCTTGCTTCTTTTCAATAGTATCAAACAATAGATGAACTATAGGCTTGGGCAATAGCCTCACCTTAGGCTACTCTCTCGAGGATCTCATTAAACTCGTCGATTAATCCTACTCTGGACCCTAAGAGTACCTCGTGTTCATAACTACCAACTAAACAAGTGTTGTTTAATCGGGTCTGAATACTACTTGCAACATGCTTCATCCTTGGGTAATAGTTCTATTAAGATGAATGGTAAGAGGCCTCCTAAGTTGACTCTTTCTTCTGTATATAGGGTGTTCGGTCATCTCTGGGAAAAATTTTAATTCTAGAGGCCAAAATAAAACGAAAATCAAGAATATCAATTTATTGATCGAGGCTTTGTTAAAGAGTTATTATAGTGGTTCTCACTCTACTCACTGACGTATCGATAGCCTTACAGTTTTGTGAATGAAAACCACTAGGACTGACTTGCCCCAGCCCCAGTACAACAGGCGGAACTTTAAACGTTAATAACTTCTTAACGAAGTCTCGATCAACAAATTGATATTCTTGATTTTTGTCTTATTTTGGCCTCTAGAATCTCCCATTAAAATTTTTTCCCAGTTGCTCCCCCAACTCCTCAAAGTCACCAGAGTACATCTAACATTTCGAACTCGGTATCGCCGAACGGCTCAAACCCCGAACATAATCTCTTCAGGGTGTTGTGCGCCGTTCGCAGATAATTACAACAATCTAATTACCAGCGATAAACGTTCGAAGAAAGACGCAACACCTGAACCCGTATCCCGTCGCCCCGAACGCTCCGAGCCCATTTCCTCCCGCGTCGGTTGCGTTAAACCGGAAATGGCGAGTTTATTGCGGCCGCCATTACCGGCGGTAACCGCGTAAAAAGGTACGAACTTGCTCGCAAGAAACACAGCCTAGGGGAAAAGCGGCTGGCGATCCAATGAAAGCCGAGCCGGCTGGCGTCAGACTTTCCCCGAAAAGGCCTCAATTATCGTAAAATTTTATGAAACCCACTGTTTCCTCCCTTCCGTTGCGGAACCTGAAATCCAACCAGGGTCCGCAGCTGGCCGTGAGCCGTCCAAGCGAGTAGCTCCTTTATTAATTACAATTAGTTTAATAGAGGCCCCCGTGCGTTCTCCTCCTCCTCCCACCGCCGTGAAATTCTTAATTCCGTCGGCAGCGAAGTGTACGGGCTCGTTTAATTCATTCCGCGGCGGTCCGTCCGCGTCCCCTTACAGATGTTCGTCAGGCTGTTCGTCGACGAGAACCTGGACCGCATAGTGCCCATCTCGAAGCAGCCCAAAGAGAAGATACAGGCGATCATCGACAGCTGCACCAGGCAGTTCCCGGAGTTCGCCGAGAGGGCCAGGAAGAGGATCAGAACGTACCTGAAGAGCTGTCGAAGGAACAAACGCGGCAGGGAGGGTGCACCTTGGGACGCGGTAAGTTTCCATTGCCTCTATCTTTGTAGCTTGTTTGGTAGGTCCTTTAGTTGCTTAACTGAATTCACAGCTTGGAGTTCGGATGGATAGTTCCGTGGTGTTTGCCGCCCAGCGACGCTCGTGTATAGTTGACGAAACAATTATAGTGATCTGCTCGCGTCAGTTTCGAGACGTCTGTCCAGTGATACCCTTGTTGAGTGGAAACTGCTAAACAGGTTTCTCTCGCAGACTGAACATCCAGGTTCTTAAACTTGTAACACCCAAAACTGATCCCTTCGGACCTGGTGTAAATTGTTAACAGCGTGAGTCTAAGCTCCTACCATTTTGGTAGCCCGCGGTTTTTACGAGATCGCTATATTTGTTGCAAGTATACAGTAGTGCTATGTGCCTAGACTTTTACGAGTCAATATTTTGAGAAATTGAACTATTAGACGAAGCTCTATCGCCAAACGCTTATTAAATTTCGAGGAATCCATTAGGGAAGTCCCCTTGGTAGTTGCGAGTTCGAGCAGTAGATGGCGCTTGCTATCGTTTCTGACGAATAGAACCAGCATTCCTCGCGGAAGTAAACGTTTGAACTTCGAGCTGTATAATAGAGTGCGAGGAGAGCTTTATTGTACGGCTGTGCTTGTTATGATTTTTCGAAATATTTTCCGTCACACTTTATACACTTTATCACATGAAACCAGTCGTTTAAGATCCGTAACTTCGAAAAAAACATTGATGAACCTTTGTTCGTACGCTTAAACAACTACTTTAGGGACACCTTGTTCACTGTATCGTAATGGATGAACTGTGAATCCAATTGTGGTCGTAGATTTTACAAATGGCTGACCATTTTGAAGTTACCAGGTACTCCTATATTTTGGCACTTCTTTGAACGATTCTTTCTTTGTTGAAAAATTCAAAAAAATAGGATTCTAATCCAACTATCAGTTTTTATTCTTCAGCAGACTTCCAAACTAATCTTTAGTGTGTTTGAGGAGCACTTCCTCAGAATGTGGATCATTCTTTGAATCACCATTTTAAAAATCTCTGTATTACTCTTTCATAGTCCACACCAAGGAGGTAGATATTGCAGGCCTGTGTAATGAGCGATAAGCACACCATCGACTACTTCGCATTCCAATTGGGTGTACCTCAAGTAGTTCACTATATTCCATCCACTTAGCATAGCTACAGATTTTGAAAGCGAACGTTCATGATTAAAATACCACTGAAAGGAACAAGTTCGACCACGTTGCTTAGAATAGTGTCCCTTAGAAGTGTCATTCACTTTGGCCCAGAAGTGTCGTGCGTCACGCATGTGACTGATCTGATCTGGTGATGTTAATTCTTCACGATCACTGTCAAAAACCATTCGTGCTTACATTCGTCCTCTTTAGTCCAGATTCCTAAGTGCGTGGAACGATGGGAGTATAGTTAGCACAAGTAAGAGGTCACATTGCTATCACGAGGAGCACAAAAGTGATTTAATATTATTAATAGAAATATATTTGATTATCTTGTTTTGGAATATCCCCTTTTTGTGAGGTGTCCATTTCGTACTGATTAGGTTCAGTGACTGAGTTTTTGGTAAAGTAAAGTGGTTCTAGAATTAGGTTACTTAAGTCTCCAAGACTAGTACCACAACTTGCCACCATTGTAGCTAAATTCATCAAAGTTTATACACTAAAGATTCAGTTCTCCTATTAGTTTTTGATTCATAATTAAATTTCTTAGTTAGATAACACTTCAACGGTGTTACAATATTTACGAATGCCACAGGTCAACATCAATTTGAAGCTTTGCTTGTTCGAGCCAATATAACGCGTCCCTGAAAAGGGGCATGGGTTAGGTAGTTGCCAAAAATAGCTAACAGTATCGACTTGGAACAATTCTTTCACTTAGCTTCATTCATTCTCCTTCAGGCAATAACGATGGGTATCTAACTTAACATTTCACGCGTTTCATCGCATTAAGAACGAAGCTATAGCAACTCGAGGAGGTTTAAACCACCCATCGAGAGAATGATTCACCTGGACTTCTTGAATTTTGTAATTTTTAATTGTTGTTTAGTTGTTGAAGTCTTCAAGTTAGGGTGTACCCTCGAAGTCATAATTTTCTAGTAACCTGCTACGGCCACAACACCAAAACCATTTGTAAAACAATTCGATTCCCCATAGTTACAAGCGATAGTTGTTAAATTCCTTTGAACGCAGCCTCGAATTCTCGACAGCGACGATTTCGAAACGCTGTCGGAAACGTTCCCCAGTGAACCGCCTACGGGTCACCCGCGAAAGCCAAAAAATTCCTGAGGTCTGAGTCAAGTTCGAGCTTTCGGTATGCGACGATCACGTGACGCAGGCATTTCTTTTTAGGCGAGGCCCACTCCGGCACACTTGACCTCCGTGCAGGCTGAGCAAATTTTGGCAACAGCCTGCGAAAATGAGAGCGACAACGCGAAACGCATGAGAGTCGGTCTGGAGCCTGTCTCACAGCCTATGCCAACTCTTCCGGCCGCAACGGTGAGTAAAATTAGAATGAAAAGAGCACTAACGTCGCCTTCGTCCGTGCGAATCGAGCTTTGTTTCCTACGTCTTTCGCTGTCATTTTGTGATTTCACGATCGCCAGATAAAAAAAAACCATTACAAAGTGACCATGCTCCAACGGAAACGTTGAACGCGATAATACGATGATCGAAAGAGAACAATTTCTATATGCTTGGTGTAAATAATGTTTTGAAAACGATGCAAGAAGTGGCGCGATAATTTGAAACTGCTAAAATTTGTCGCGTATCGCGACAGTGAATTTAACGGTGGTTCGTAACCGTGTGTCACGATCGATTAAACTTTGGAATAAAGCGAGTCTTCTGGAACGCTTTGTGTACCTAATTCGTTTAATTTTCGAACTTGTGCGTCAAAGGTGACAAGTTTGTTCGCGTGGTGCGTTAATGATCCGTTAAAACAACCGATACGGTCGAAACTTAACTGTAGGGTCGGTGTATATACAATTGTTACTGTGTATATATTATTTTTAAGTTCTTATTCGAAAACGTGCGGAAATACCAACAATCGTACGATGATATTAATAGCGTACAATTCGTATTGTCAGACATCGAATCACTATAATTACTGTAATTATAGTTATCCAAAGAGATAAATATCTTGCAAAATAGGAGTCTTCTTACAACACTATGTTGTTTGAAATAGAAAATCAAATCATAAATGTTCAATACTCCGATGGTGCATTTACAATTTTGTGGTATTCCAATGGCGTCAACGTTATTTATTTACAAGTACTAAGAAAGCACAAATACGTGGCCCGCCATTGCATTTAACACTTTAAACCGTAGTGGGGACGATTCCATTACAAGTATGCCCAATGATCGATGATGCAAAAAGCGAGGCAGTACCGTAATACTTTCTTAAATAATTTTCATTGCACTCGCGGTTAATAACCGGAAGCTTCGACCGTAAAACAGTCGTTATGAATACATTATTTGTAGGTTATACCATCGCTTTAAACCCGTAATTGATACGCACCGATAACGGAATTAAATCGGAATTCAAAAGTGTAGATAGGCGGGTACGCGTCTGGATAGTCGCGCGGAGTTATAAAGGGTTAAGTGTTCCCGTAGAGCGCCATCTAGACTGGCCGAGGCGAAGTTGTCGTACGATCGGGCACGCAGCTTGCTCTCAAAACCCAAAGAGGTGGACTCTTGTTATTGTTTATAAAAAGCAAAGTGCTCCGATCGAAATAACTGAACCGTAACGGCGATCCACGTTTCGCGAGGGGATCCCGAACGGGCTCCTGACGCAACACCGTGGACGATAAAGTTTTCCATAAACCGTCGAGTGCTGCCCCGGCCATAAAATTATCGTGCGTAGAAATCCGAGCGACGCGTCTCTTGCGCAACGCCTCGAAGTGTGATACGTGAAACGAAGCTAGGATTGATATAGGTACACAGAGGCCGGTGATAACCCGCGGGTCGCGCACCTCTCCCACTCTGATGCAATGGCGCGCACACACTGACCACGTTCCACGCGTGCCGCCTGAACGACGGAAAAATCGAAATATATATTCCATCGCCAGGAGTCGTCAACAAGCTCCGGACCGATTGCGTGCCACAATAGCGCGGACACGTTTGAAATTTCGCTTAAATTCTAGCTGCAAATAGCTTGCTCGAGGTATGTACGCTGAAAGGGTGATGCCTCGCGCTACGGAACGGTACATCCCCGCGCATCAGGTTCCATTTTTCAGACAATCGTGCTCGAAATTGTTCGAGCACACGTGCTGTGCGGACCGTGGTTTCGATCGTTGCTTTCGTTTGCCCCCCGAGAGGCTTCTTTCGAACGATCTGATTAGGCAGAGTCGAATATGGACTTAAATCGAAATGCTCATTGCGGGGGGAAAACCACGTTCGTCGTAGTTGCTCGTATTTGCAAGGATAACATCAAGAATTTGAAACTTTGAATATTCGATGCAAACACTTAGATAGACGTTCCATTTAAAAGGAACTTGTTCTTCGATTCATTCGATATTATCATTCTTCACATACCTAAACTGCTGCATGTAAAACGATCCTACTTCCCACACCTTGTTTTACTTCTCCATTGTAACCATCGTTAACTTTCTTGCATTAATCGTCTTCAGCAAGGTGTAATCACGGAAATAGTATACATACATAGTTTCCATAGTCGAAAGTAACGCTTGCCATCCGGTCAGGAGAACCAGACGTTCAAACCTTCGGGCGTTACATTCTATCATTAGTCGTTCACATAGCGTGCAACTTTTTCATCGACTATCCTACGATAGTATTTAGAAGCAAGAGTCGCTAGATTCATGGCCAACCAATGAATGTTTAGCATTCTCTGATACTGACCAGAACCAGTGAGCGTTGCTTCGCGTTACGACTCCAATAGCCACAATGATCCGAAGATCTCATAAGCATGTTAATCTACACCACTACACTGCACACATAACAAGAACCATGACTGAGAGTTATCAGTCCACTCAACGTTTCCCGTATCACCTAAGATGGGTACTCGGCGACCCATCTTGATTACTAGTACAATATATAAGGATCTTCTCTCTTGGCTCTTCCTATCCTGGTCTGGGTTAGGTCTGATCAGAACTGACTTTTACCACTCACTCTTTCGCACCCTGTACTAACGTAAGTCGGTACAGGGTCCCAGGGGTCCCACGTGGAGGTGAGATAAGTGGATTTGGCCAGAGTGAGCCCGCCAACTTCGTCAAAATTCTCTGCACCAGGCTACTAACGAGATAGTAGCCCAGGTATAGGAGAACATTAGCTCGATCGGGGTTTTTGACCTGTCTAAGACCAGGAAGTCCCACTCCAGCCTTATACCCCCACAGTCCAGCACAAAAAATTACTAGATACCTTTTAGAAGCAATAAGATTTACTATTACACAGTGGATGATGTAACCACAAGGCATACATCCTCCTTCAGTTTTAAAACTACGTTCAAAGTAGCTCAGCTTCTCTGCAGAAACATTAGGACCTGCTAGGTCATAGTCAAGTAGGAACCCATCTCAATGATTCTTAAAACGAACCCAGACGCGATTCGTAAATTGGACGCTCCTGGAAGCATCAAAAGTTGCTTGTACCAAGCAGGTTGTTGTATGAAGAATCAATTCTCGATCATTAGGATGCTTTTCCCTGTTGCATAGACCAGGTCGCTGACGGAACAAGCGTGCACGCATCGCGTTCGCGATCGCAGATTCCCTGGTTACCTATAGTTCGTTCACCCTAATCGCGGAATGTAGTTTCCAGAACGTTCGAAGCTCGTCTTGTGCTCGAGGTTCGTGGAGCCGCACCGCGTCGTTGGCACACCTAATCCTCCCTCTGACCTCTTGAATACTGCACGTCTGCTCCCGTCCCGTTTCCCCCGTCCCGGAGCCAAGAAGCTAGAACTTGGTCTCTCGTTTCGACTTATCTACGTTGAAAATCCCTACCGAGGAGGACCAGAGATACAGGCGTCTCGGCGGGACAGAGAGGGAACGAGAGACCGATAACCTCTCCGGCGACCTAAACCTAACCCATTAAGGAGAAGACCGGGGTTCGTGCACGGACGCGGCTATCTGCCGTGGCCACCTATATAATTGACGTCAACGCACACTGCTCGCCTTTCATAAAAACACCTCCCTACATCCGTTCTCCTCTCTCTTGACGATTTCATTCCTCCGTGCACGCCGTCGGCCTCCTGGCACCCCGCCCCCGTCCACGGTGCGCCCCCTCTCGTCCGTGGCGTCGTTTCTTTCTCGATTTCGTTCCTCCCCTTTCTTTCTGCCTGGCTCTCCTCTCTTTCCTCGAATTAATTTCCTTGCCCGCGAGAGCTTACTCACGCCTCGACGTTTCTGCCCGCCACATCTGGCCGCCTCAGCGGGCTCCTCTCTTCGGTTCTCTTCTTCCTGGCTTTTTTGCCGCCGGTTTTTTCGACCCTCCATCCCGTGCACTCGCGGAGGCAGGTGACCAGGCTGCCGCGTACGAGTCCCGAGGATGATCGCGGCGCGGACCGATGCGGGGGAGCGTTCGTTCGCGGGAGGATCGACGGTCTGTTCACGGTCCGTTGACTCATGACACGTGGTGCTTTGGTGACTGTGCTCTTCGACCATCCGCGGACAATAGAACTCGACGGATCGTCAGTGACGATTCCCCGTGCTTCCGTGAACATTCCGCGCGAGTGTCCGGTGCGATGAGTTGAACGAGCAGGTGGAGAACTCAGCTGGACCCCGACGCGACACAGTGAACGTGGCATTTTGGAAACGAGGGGCTAAACATGAGGAAAAAGAATCTGAGAGTAGTTCACAAGCAGGTGTACGATCGCGTGCAGATCCAGCAGGTACATCTTTAAGTACGGTTTATAACCACGTGTGTTTCTCCCGCCCCTCGGAACGTGGCGTGTTCGCCTTTGGCGAAATCTTGGCGAATTTACGTCGAAAACTGCGCCGAGCAAATTCTCGCTCGCCACTGGCGGAAATTGGGTCAGAATGCTTAAAAATCTGGAGTAGGAGATAGTTGCTTCTCGCGTGTTGTGGGTGGTGGGGGTCGCCAATGAGCGAGCCAATCGGCGGAGGCAACAAAATGTAACAATTACGATCCGTTTACCGAGCGATACAAAAATTCAGAACGAGCTGAGGCTCGAAATGATTTGTCTGTGATCGATTTGCAACGCTTTCGTTTAGGTGAATTATGACGATGAGTTTCTGGTAGTTTTAGACCCTTTGATTGGGGTGTTTTCGATGTTGCGTTCAGGCATAGTTCCAGTTTGATGGTAGACGGAAATTCTGAAGGTCAAAAGCTCTTGAAACACGAAGTCTTCAAATCTTAGATAATGGGAAAGTAAAAAATTTTCTATTTTAATTCACTGAACTTTGTTATCGTTCCTGAGGTTCGAAGTCTTGAAATACCAGATCCTATGCAGTATCCTTTTAGGTGTAGGTTTCGAAACACGTTCACCACATTCCTTCTTGCTATTTCAGAAGTGGATTTTGTTTCTCTGATAAAACAAAGCGACTATCTCTATTTGTTTAGGAGTTTCAATATCGCTCGACTCCATTACTTTGTCAATCTTTACCAAGGGATAAATCAACACAAAATAACTGACATTATATATTTCTTTAGAAAATGTTCTCTTGTGCAATTTTACACGTATTATTTTCAAGATTTTTCATACAAAATTTTATCGTTTACGGATCCACAGTACATCATGCCACAAAATTGAAACTATAACACGCTTCATAATTGTCAACTGATTAGTCAGAATTAACAATAAATAAATCAGTACCAACCAAATACGACTACAGTATGTACAAGATAGATATTTGGAAATTGATCTGACTAACCAGTTTATAAATACTTTCTCCATCGCAAGCAATAATTATGATTTTAAACCGTAAACACTCGTGGAGTTGTTTACTGTTGATGTACTGTAAAAAAAAAACCATAGTACTAAAGTTGAAAACACTGAGATTGTAAATTTTAATAGTAACAAACTTAGACTATCGTATAATTTTACTTCTAACATGCATGAATGAAAGACTTCTTTTGTTACGAATCCAATAACAAAATATTGTGTCTTTACAGTTTTGATTTGTCGATAAAAGATTGGAGTTTTGTATGTAAATTCTGGCATTAATTTATCAATGAGCGCGATGAGCATGACGTTAATTAATTTGTGGTACCCGATTTAATATTAAAATACGGAGGCTCGACGGTTCTCCATCTTAAATTTAACGCGAGGAGGAACTAAGATCGCGTTCTGGTTGCAGCAAACGGACGTCCGGTCAAGTTTGGAGCATTTCTCGAGTACACCGGTGAAATCACTTCCGGGCAAAAGGGAGGATACACCACCGACATCGCTAACGTCCCTGGCGCCGTTAACCAGTTTGGCGAACTTACCGAGCAGCACCCTCTCTTCTACGCCCCTATCTCTAGCACCAGCGTCGAAGCTGCTCACACCAGCGGACAACAAGGGTCTCATGAGGTCAGTACGATGAACTAACTTTAAAGCAGGCACGACCAATTTCTATATGAATTATAAACACGACATAATGGTATCTATACCGGTTTTGCAAATAATCACACCAACCAAAGATACAATTTCATAGCAAAACTATTATTTAGAGGACAATGTTTCTGGGAATCACTTAAAAGAGAACTTACCAGGACGTGTAACACAACTCACATTCATTTTGGACACTGTAATTCACTAAATAACTAACACTTTATCAAAATAATCATCACCTCGTCAGTGGTCGACACTATAAATTATTTATTACATTTCACTGCCAATTAGTCACTTCTTGAATACGGTAGAGCCACTAGTTGCACTAGGTCACTTAAATCTAAACGGGACTGAATTTTTAAACAATATAAATGGTCTTGTTGTTCATTGCATGACGTGGACAAGTAGAGATTCGTAAATTGAACATTTCTATCTCTCCCAACTGGGGGGATTCCTCTTTAGAGCCTTTGTGGAAAAGTGCAAAGGGCGACATTATTACAGTAATGATTCTTAAAATGAACACGTGATTCGTAAATTGAACATTTCTTTCCCTCTTGGGGCCAGTGAAGCGCGAAAGACTACATTTAAAACGCGATACACGCTGGTAGTTTATTTTCATCCTTTCATCCCTAAAAGATGAAAGTACGCCTCTTCAAAAAGAACACTTTTCTTCGTACTATTTTTGAAGTCTAATAAGACTGTCACTAGATCCCCTCGCCAACGGGAAATTTGATGATAATGCGCTACTCCGCGCTTCGTGGTATCCTCCGCTCGCTCATTTCTCTCGGCGATCCACCACAATACGGATGACGTCTAAACCGCTTACTGAAATACGGCAAGATTCAGTATAATAATCGGCTGAGGTCACGGACTCGGCCCACGGAATCGTTTAGGAAATTCAAGCAATCCCGTTTATATTTAAGTGACCTAGTACTTAGCAAGATCGGCCGGTTGTTGATCGCCCAAATTTATCAACTGGAAAATGCAGCAGGGGCTATAGAAGACGGGCCAATCTTGGTCAAGCTTCGTAGCATTCTAGTGGCAATTTTGAGAACACGATCGATAATGAATCTGTTTCGAGTCTGCCAGAATGTTACGAACGTAGTCTCCATAATTGAGCATTGATAAACAAGCTCGTACGAGTCTACGCGCCGAATCGACGTTCAGTGGCGACAAAAATTACGCACTCCTCTCGTAATCAATTCTCCGGCACGGTCATTCTCGCTCCCCGATCTCTCATTCACCGATCCGGAGTAACGACGATGAAACAGGCGCAGATAAAGCGTCGCGTAGCCGGTCAAAGATCACGGAACGAAAAGTGAGAGAGCCGGAGGCGGAACCGGGCGGAGCTAATCAATGCTACACCTTATCGTTAACACGAATCTCGCTCGCGTTTTTCAGCCAGGCGACGATAGTCAGCTCGTCGGCCGTTAATGGTGTTGCCAGCGGCGGTGCACCCACAGCGATGTACAGACCGAACTTCAGCCAGGCGTTCCAGCGTGCAGGACCAACGACAGTGCCGCCAACCCTGTCGGCAGGACTGTACCCGACGCAGAGCTTCACGTCGGGCCTTCTGAGCAACGGTACACAAAGTAATATTGCTTATCGGTGTCCATATAAGTTCGCCTTCGCTGAGCCAGCTCACAAAGGAACCAGTCGGTAGTGGCAAACGACCATTTCAATAAAATTTCCAATTCACCCATGAAAATCGTACCCGAGAAACCAAAAAACTGAACTATATCAAAAATAGCGGGGTTTACTAACATTTTGGATGAACTTCAAACCCCTCAACAAATCTTTTTCATTTTTTTTTTAATATTATTTTAACAAGTTGTTTATGGATGCCCTCTATATTTTGTTGAATTGTACTGAAGAACGATTTTTGATGACAATAATGTTGTTTGGAAGCTTACAAATATTGGGGATAACTTATTGCAAGTGTTGCAATGTGTTATACTATGTGTTGGTCACAAGTAATCACAGCCATTTTTAATATTAAAAATGAATCAAGAAACTTGTTCTTACCTATAAATAATAAAATTAGGTTTTCCATATCAATCATATTCTATACCTCTGCAAATTAATAAATTGAATTTGCCTCTACAAGTGTATGGGCATAGTCAACCAATATTGTACCTATGGTTTTTGTAGGTATAACTCCTGCTGTTTCATACCAATTTTATTGAAATTTATGTATGCCACTACCAACTCCTCTTATTAATTTTATTTTATACAATACAAAGTGTATTTTGTATCCTTCTGGGTCATCTCACAACTACAATGTTATTGCTACAGCTTTTATAATTTTCATAATTAAACTTGTTATCATTCCAATTTGTACATGACCAAAGACTTGTTGCCACTTTCTCAATGCGTAGGAATTGTTCAATCTATATGCTAAATGTAGTGCTTGCTATGCAGTGATTACTAACATCATTTTGTACTTACCAATGTTTCACTATGCGTATCTGATATTCACTTCTATTAATCTTCCTCACGTCCCTAAACCATTACCACAGATACATTGTAATAATTATAGAGAATTCTTTTACATGGTATCAATGAAAGTATCAACCACTTCTGAACGTGAATGTAATTTCATTGATATCAAACATTGGCTCTAAAGACACAGTCCACTGTATCAGACCAAGAATAATAAAATAATCATACAATTAATATACTTTAACTACAATAAGAATGCAAAAAATAGGAAAGACAAACACTGCACAGAAATCATAAGTGTAATAACCTAACCACAAATTCTACTACAACCCTTACTTTGCAATTTCATTCAGCTATTACTGTACATCAATAGTGTTGATCTAGTAACCAATCAAAATACGTTTCATTTAACAATTGCATAATTTTCAGGGGTTAGCTTCCTCGAAAAGAATTCCCAGCTACAGCATGCACGTGGAAAACTAAATAACCTGCGCTTGGCATTGCAAACACGCTTGAAACCGTGGTAATATTTAAACCTAACCTCTGACCTGAATTGTTCTTCCAGGACCGACGGACTTGAGCATGAAGAACACGAAGCCTCTTCTGAGCCACAAACTGAACGCGACGGAAATGACCGCCGTCAGGCAACTGATCACCGGTTATCGAGAGTCCGCCGCGTTTCTCTTGAGGTCCGCCGACGAACTCGAGCAACTGTTGCTCCAGCAACCATAGAGCTACGTTTACGTAGCCAGTGGCCAGCAGCTTGGCTCGTAAGCCCTTCCGGGCGATGAGCAGACGCCGTGAAACGCGACCACGGCGGCTACCCGATCCTAGGACCCGGAGACTTCAACGTTAACGCGAACGAAGCTCGCTCAATCTCCGCGGCGTCGATGTTACCGACGATTGGTAACAAGTTTCTATTATTCTCCAGCTGGGAAATGCATCCCCGAGACAACGTCGGTCCGCGAAACCAGTGGACGCCCGCGAACCCAATGAAACTTATCCCGCGAAAAAGGAAGCTGGAGTTTTCTACAACGCGTGGTTCTTCTCTCGGGCGGCCGCGAGGGGGCGGAGAGGTGTATCCCCCGTAACGATTCGCGCGGGAATTTTGAATCGCTGGCCACCGCCAAGGGTGGATTTCGTCTTAGAACAGAGTTCCCACGCGTCACGAATCGCTAGAACGCGTTCTTAGAAGATAGGTTTAAGGAAAACTATTCAAACAGGGTGTACATAAAGAGGATTTACAGATATTTACTTAACTACCGATAAGCTTAAGCTTAACAAACGAGACGGCGTGTGTGGCGTGCGTGCGAGTGTGCGTGTGGAGAGGCTTTGACGGAGAGCGGCCCGGCGGGAGATTTTGAACGTTGCTCAAAAATATTTGGCACCTTCTAGCGGATCCTGCGAGCCACGCGAGTAAACCGATCGCAACGACCACGTATATGTTCAAAGTAAACGTTTCTGTCTGGGGGGGGTTTTTTTTTTCTACTCAAGCTTGCGGGTTCGAGTAACCGTGCGTCGTGATCGTTTTCCCCGACGATGTACATACGGCTGATCGTGAAACACGAATCTTCGTTCCCTGTCAGTTGACGGGGACGATTTGAAAACGCGACGAAGAACACTGCGGTCACACGTGTACATAGGAACATACGTACGCATACGTTCGCGCATAGACATGTGTATATAAATAGGTCGCAGGACAAGATGGCTTTTTTTTCTACTGGCGACGCGTCAGTGAGGAAACGATGGGTTAATTGATAATTAATTGTACACTGGCTGAACCAACGTGGGTCGGTACAGAGCATAATGTACTTGAACCGTGCAGGTTGCGTCGATGATCGTGGCTGAACGCGGACGTTCGGTGACTCGAAACAAAATGGCGGAGTGTTTGAGGAGCAGAGCTTTGGGAACTATCTAGACTGAGGTCTCAGTTCGATGGAGGATCTTGTTGAAATGAGTTCTTGTTTTTGTTTGTTTTATGTATTTATGCGGGTTAAGTAATTTGTAGAAGAAAAAGAAAGGTTATGTTTAAGTAGAACGTTTGTACAGAGATGTATAAATGAGCTACTAATTTATATGAATTTTTTTTGTTAAAGAACAAAGTTTTTATCTTAATTTGTTGGTCGATATAATGGTTTCTTAGCTCTTAAAGGCGGGGACAGCATTTTCTAGAATTATTTTATACGTAACGTTGCGAGTTCAAACTGTGTATTTTTGTTTTCAGTTTTTATGATACCTTTTTGAGTATGTATGTTATTATAAATTTATTACAGACCCTGGCACGTGTGTAGTAATTTTCTTTAATGCAGTGTATGCTTTGAACCGTGTACAAATGAATTGCGTTAAATGGATAAATTGAACGAGGTGTCATGAAATAGAAAATCATTGCTGTTACATATATTGATTTTAATTTTAAGTTTTTCGTTAAAACCCTCGATCCAATAAATGAAGTTTTGTCGATCAGTTTGCTCGCGTGTCGAAGCAATTCTCAAAGCTCTTTTCCCAGAAACCAAGCACAGCAAGAATGCAAAATTTCTTTTTAAAGAATGGGTTGTAGCCCCACAATCCTCGACGCAAGTTGTACACATTTATCGGGACCATCTTGTCACGATCTGACAATACGTTAAAACCGTATTTGTGGTCTCCGGACGCATCACTGTGTTACCAAAGAACACTGATTATTATTATTATACGATAATATACGTAGCGCTATATATACACGCGTTTATTTCTTCCTCTCTTCTTTTATTTTTCCTTTTTAGCGATTTCTTCTTTTTTTTTTTTAAGGTGATACTGTCATTCGCATTGGACCAAGGAGTCATTCTAACCCGTTTTAACCTGTACGAGAAAATATAAGCACACGACAGGGGTCGCGCCACACCGATATCTTCCGCCATAGATCAATTTCATCGATTTGTATTAATTACGTGCCGCCGTAATTGTAATAATTATCGCGTCTTATTATCGCTATTACCATTTATATTATATTATATCATATTATTGTCGCTACGATTATTGGTTCCCACGAACCGTAGAGGAAGAAGGGTTGTCGCCCCTCTCGTGGAGACTAATTTTTCGCGATGCAGCGTCGCGCGTTAATTCTATTCTGTCGTTGTTTTGTACATAGTTTATACACGTCGTCGTATCACGTTACGGAGCAAAGGAAACGAAAGAAAACTGCGGATACACGAGTTTCTTTTGACGAGATATGAAGAGAGAATATATATATATATACATATACATATATATATATATTATTATTATTATTATTATATGCAGCATGGCCGGTTTGAGTGTATACATGCAATTATTTCACCGATTATAGCAGATACCAATAAACGTTGTTCATATAAAAATTGTTGACTTGGTGTGGGGAAAAATATAACATTGGATTGGAGCTTCTTGTGAGATTATTACTTGCAGAAATTTCAACGTTACCTATTTTCGAATGGATATCCTGTTGCGTTGTAAGATGCATTCAACGAGGTAAATAAATTTATTAGATATCTTTTTTCCATTTTTTATCCAAACTTAACAGCCAAATAAACTCTTCTAATCCTTTTCGATGGTTACGATTCCGTACGTTGCGAAACTGTAAACACAAATGTAGGTCAGTTGCGTTGTTTTTACATAATAAGTTGGTACAGTGACTCAGTTCGATAATTGTCACCAGTATTTATAGACTTATCTAAAGAACGATTTACGATTGATTACCAAAAATGACTGAAACGAACAATGAGATACGCGCAATCGAAGTATGCAGTTCCATTTAAAGTAATTTACGCGATATTTAAATCTTTGACGTAACTCTCGAAACAAGTATTATACTTGGCATGATGTTACAGGATGAACAATTTTTATACCATCGACGTTTATTGTATTCTCAGTATTCGATGATTAATTTCGTGCGTATGGTCGAACCGGACACACTGTATATGTATATATATCGTATCGTATTGTGTGTATATACTGTATGCGATTGTAAAATATGTTCACGCGGATGATCGATGGCCGTGGTCGCCACGACCGAGCTCGAGTACACAGAGAAACATTCCACCATTATGGGAGGGAGGACGGTTAGGAAAAAGAAAGGGTTGACGAACAGCTATACGACTGTTTTAGAAACGAACGACTTCTCACCTGGCCCCCCATTGCACGAAGTCATGCTTCCTTTTTCCTTTTCCGTTTCGCCACCGTTTTCACCGTTCGAGGTCGCGTACCGTACTTGTCTCTCGATCAATGAAAGTAACCGTGAAAAGCGTATCCCGTCGGTCGACGATCGCTTCGTTCAGATATCTTTAGCGATGGGCGTATTAATTAACTTCCAAGCATTTCGAATCGCACAAAAATATGAATCCATACGAGCTACGTCCAAAACCACAGAAATCTTCAAGTCCTCCAGAGCCTTTACAGTCTCGAACACTTGAAAGATTCGAGTCTTAAATGTCTGGACCATTTGGAAGGCATTCGAATGGTCTTAAATGCCTCGAAATTCTGAAAACCCCAGAAAGTCTCCAGTGTCTTAAACGCCCTAAGTATTTTAAAACTCCCCTAGACATTTATCCTTATTAAATGAGGCTGACGAAATTGCTCCTTACACTAGACAATATTTCACTAATGTTTTGAAAAACAATTCTGAGTTGAAAAGGGAAAAGGGATACTATCAGAAATACACTCTCAGAAATAGATTCAAACAGTCCCAAACAGTCTCGAACAACCTCAAACGATCTCAAACACGAGTGATACCGACCAATATTAATCAGTGAGTTCGTGGCTGTTCCCAGGACGATTATCCTTTTTAGATAGACGTGTCCATTGTTAAACTTTCGAAAACAAACATCGACCAACGGAGACTCGTAGTTTTGGCGGCGCGGTTCGATGCGTTTGAAAGTGTTTGGAGGGCCCCCGTCACTGAACGTCTCGTTCGTGGAATCTGGATTGCCGTGTATGCTGCCGCTGTCTAGTTAATCGATCGAATATCGTGATTCGGTATAGTGCAATAGTCTTTACACACTTGGTACTCTTTCCTCTTCTCTCTATTTCTCTCTATTTCTCTGCGCGTATAAAGTAGTCTTCGCTTCGCGGCACCGTGGAACGCCTCCTTTCATTCGAACGTCTCCTCTTCGCGAATGTAATAATCATTAGGATCGTCGTATCTTACAGACTAGTTGTACCGCATTAGATGTATCTCTGAGACTTGTACACATGTTCCGTGTGTAATGGAACCGCGTGCACCTGCACAAACACACCACAAGAATTCTGTTTCGCATCACGGTTTCCGAAGTCAGTCGCGTACGAACAGAACGGTTCGAACACGGGCCCGCCCGGACAAACTTGGACCAGTTTGGCGAAGTTCGAACGATCGTTTCGCCGAAAATTTTCAGAATAACAGCGTTTCGAGGTATAATTTTGTTCGGAGTCGATCGGTTCGGATTAATTTTGGTTCGAAACGCGTTGATATACAAACTTCCCAAACGCCATCGGTTTGATTTAGTTGAGAGTAGACATTAGTTACGAAACGTTCGATTCGAACCAGTTCGCGACTGGCTGAACCCTCCGCAGTTTAACCTGACGATGATCATTGAAAGAGAAATCAAACACAGTGGAAGCCACTTCAAGGTGAATCGGAACGACAATTTTCGAGAGTCGACCGGATCGTTCCTACGAGAATCGAGCATCGACTCCACGATACGCTGACAATAGATCGAAAGGAAAAGGGAAAGACGAAAAAGGTGACGAGAAACTCCGAAGGATGAAACACACGAATACACATGTATTTCATTTTCATTTTTCGTACATATACACGTACAGATTAATAACTATATACATACAATTGTATATGTATTTATATTTTTTTTTTTTTTTTTTTTTCGTTCGATCGTCCACAAACGCGTGGAGACACCTTCGAAAACGTGTCCGTATCTTGTTTGTCTACACGGGGTGCAGTTCTAACACCGTTCAATGTAATCGCGAATTGATGTATATTGATTAAAGATATAAATATAAAAAAAAAAAAAGAGAAAAGAATATGTATTTGTTCCTGAGAAAGAAATAATAAGAGTAGCACTACCGTAACATTAATATTGATAGTAACGATAAAGATAATTTGATGGTACATACTTTCTTATAAGTAACCTTATACATTACTACGATTATTGTAGAGTTGGTACGGTCTTTGATGATGCCTTGCCTGTAAATGTAACGTTAAATGAAAAAAATCTTATTACCTTGTAAATGTTTTACCAAATATAATCGATTATTCAACTTATAATCAGGACTCTCTCTCTCTCTCTCTCTTTCTACATCCCCCCTGTTTCTTTGCATTGAAATTTGATTTGTGGGCAATTTATAAAAATTTTCTGACGTTGTAACTATCAAATAAAATAAAGTTTATAGTATTTTCTCTTTATTTTTTGATTTTGGTATCATTAAACGTGCCCCAAAATATTGGAAATTTGATACAAAAAATACGTAAGCAGATTTATTTTTACGTGCAGATAGTATCAGTTGCAAGTATTACGAACCGTTTGGAAAATTTATCGGGAGGGTATTTATTATCGGAACACCCTGTATGTTGAAACGTACGCATAATCAGCGCCTTAAAAGCGACGAACAAGCAGCCGGATAATGTATTATGTACACATGGTATCGAACGAAATGGAAAGTCGAATGAGACCCGCGCGAGATCACGATCTTAGTTCGATTGTGAAATAAGAGCTGCCCACGAGCATGGTTCGGAGCAACAAACGAAAGTAACATCGGACCGGCTCTTTTATTTGCTATATAGCGGAGCAGGTCTTAAATTATTCGACGTACAAAATAAGGAGTGATATTCCAGACAATGAATCATTTGAATCGCTGCATATCATTGTTGGGACAATTTAGAAAAAGTAACCTTATCGTGTATCTGGATCAAATAAATCATTTTGAAATATGCTCGTTTTTTCTGTATAGTCGCGCTCGTAGTTTTTGGTTCTTGCAACGTTTGAACGTAGTGTATATGATCTGGATATTACACAACCAAATTATTTTCAAAAAGATTATTATATACATCGAGAACGATCAGCCTTTCGAAATAAATTTTCTTCCAAGCGAATGAATCATTTTTGCAATAAAACAATATCGTAAAGGAATAAAAATAAAATTGTTTTCGGTCAGTGCCAAAAAATATCCCCCCCCGGGCTGTGTAATCGTACGGTTAGGGGATCGATCTCGGCAGTGAAGCGGAGCTCCCTAAATTCGACGATAATGATCGAAGAGAGGCGAGGGGCCGATCGAGCCGAAATCGTTGCCAGAGAAGATGAAAGATACCGATAAACGATAATCGGGGGGCCCCCGGTTGAGTTTCAACAGACTCGGAGGCGACGACCTCTTGAAACGAGCAGCCTGGTCACCCATCAGGCGATGCCAATTATACCAATTACGATGTCCAATCAGCGCGCATATCGCACCAACCGAAAGGCGAAACTGCTCATTAAATCCGGCTTTAATGCCCTTCCATCGCGTCTCGTAATGGGATGGACTCATCGCTGGCCTCCGCGCCGCGAAATAGTGAACGTTGCCCGTACCCCGCTGGGCCCGGCGAGGTTGCCAGGGTCATTCGATTCAAAGGAAGGTCACGTCAAGGTCATATACTCACCACCCAACGATTACAACGCGCGATTTTGCCCATGCCCGGGACTCGATGGCCTCTGGCTGGCTTACGGTCTTCGCTTTCGTCGAACGAACGCGCTGAAGTAGTACCTTGTTCAGCCACCGTGCACGATTATTCTTTCATTAGGCGGCATCTGCGTACGCGGCGTAGGCGTCTCAGGCCGTGGAACGTTTGCTGCTTGACGTGGGCGGTTGAAAGCGCTTCGTCGACCGGCTCGTGCGGGAAACGCCTATAGGCGTGCAGTGCACACGCTTGCTAAACGGGACCAGTGCACTCACGCACGGGGCACGCGCTTACGCGTTCGAATCTTGAAATCGAAACGGGGAATTTAGTACTATGTATGTCTGATACGTGTACGATATAAAGGGTGTCTTTTTTATAAAGTATCAGTAAATTGGGATATAATTCAAAGGCAAATATATTTAGATTTTCATAGTGCAATTGGCTAGGCACTAGACGGAAGATGTCAGAAGGATCGTTGAATCCTTGTCGCTATTGAAAAAAGGCATCCGCGAATTGTCGATAAATCTCGAAGGAGGCGGGGGCGATGGGGGGGGGCTGAAGTGGGGGGAAGGGTGTAAGTAAGATGAAGGGTTTCTGTCGTTTTATTTCCGTAGCCCGATCGAATGATTTATACGACATCGTGGACGATCCTCGAACTTTCACCTTCTCCGAAGAATATACCTTTCGCGGGAGTTACGCGGCACCGTAGAAATAAATCCAACCTTTTTACGGGGGAATTTAAATAAATTGAAATTACGTGGCCCCGAGCGTTAGTTGCTTATAAATACCATCGGCCACGATTAATCTTCGCGAGAGCTTGTCTTGTTTTTGAGCGTTCAATTTTTAATAATCTTCTGTTCCGAGTTTGAAACTTCGGGAAACCGATCATGTTCGATCTAAATTTAGACCAGATACAAGTTGTAGTGCTGTAGAAATTTCCAGGAGACCCCTAGACAATTACGACTCGGGTCACAGTTTATTAAACTCGATCTACACCGATCAGCCGAGTCCCTATAGCCTCTCGTAATTCCCTTTAGTATCGTTCTGGGCCGTTCGAAGGCACCATCAAGCGCAAGATTCACTTTCGAGTCACGTTCGAGCGTACATCATTCGAGCGCACCTTGACCGCAACAGGATCAGCCGTGTAAACGAAGCCTTAACCTAGGCAGAGCAAACAGCAGGTATCGCCGGGGGCCGAAATGAAAGAGAACGTGAACGCAAATACGACGTAAATCACGGCACGCACGGGAAATCAGTCGAACCGCTGATCGAATATCGGGCTACAGGCCGTATCAATAACCCCAATCACCGGGTTGTTAGATACCGCGGTACCCTCCTAACGATGCAATTAGAGCAGGTGGGAGTGCACGAATTAGGCGTGATAAATGCCCGGAACGCCCCCGCGCGGCGTCGTTTTTGTTGCAATCAGAGGGCAAACGAATTTATTCGGATCGTTGCCGCGATAAACCGACGCTAGCCGCGTCATTAATCCTCTGTCGCGGCCGTAATAAGCCCTTAATCTTCCCCGCTGGCCGGCTACCAGGCTAGCGACTCCGCTATCCCTGATTCCTACGTTTGCGCGAGTATTCCGCAAATTTCTCCGATCTCACGCGGTCAACCGCGGCTATTTACGACGGGAAAGACACTTTCCTCGTCGCGGCGATTAATAAAGCTAATTAATGCGGTTAATAAATATCGCCTGGAACGCGTTAAATCATGTCTGAAGGTCGGCCGACGTCGCGGACGCGCGTGAAGGCTCCTGTAGATCCCGGGATACCGTGCCAGCCTCCGATGGAATTTTCTTTTTATTTCGACTCGCGATTCGTTCCAGTCTTCCCCCCTCCCCCCCATTCGTTTTACCTTTTTTTTTCGAGCATACGAACTCGGTAGACTGGAATACGGAGCTGGGTTGATCGATTGGTCTAGTGGTTCTTAGATGGGGTGCTTCATTGTCGAAAGTAACATTGAAAGCGTTGTATTGGCGTATTGTACTTTGGAGAGTGGTCTTTATAGATAAAAATATTTGACATATATTTGACAACTATCGTGTAATTTATGGCTGACATTAGGCGCGTCTAGGTTAGATGTTTCGTAAGGGTATATGTGCATAGTTGCTCCGCCATTTGGTTCGTATCGTAGCGCTTCTGCGCATGTCTCAAAAGGGTTAACATGGAGTCACTTGTCACCACTGTGAAATCAAAGCTAATTTTATTCGCAAACAACGAATGCAAAGTTTAGATTCATTTCTCGCCTGCAACTACACATAGTCTATTTAATCTATTACCAAATCTAAATAGAAAATAAGCTTACACAACCTAAGAGGTTAGAGAACTAAAATGTCAACCGTTGCACGTTACTTGAATCCGGGGAACTACCATGAATCAAAACATCGAATTTTACATCCTCCATTCGCGCTTGTACATAAAAATAAATACCAACCGGATATCAATATATTCCAAACTAAAAATTTCGCCGTTCACGAGGTGCAGTAAACAATTCATCAAACCGTGGCGGTAGATTCAAAAGACACCGTGTTCGAACGATTCAGCTGTTCTCCGCGAGCCTCTCTCAGGAATCAGCGAACTATATCGAGCCGGCTGGTGTTGCATCTCGCCGCGTTTCAATCTCTCGGAAGCCGCGCGCGGTTGAATATTTTGCACGTAGCGCCGTAAACAGGAAGGGCGAGAACGAGCCGCTCTTAATTATCGATCAATCGCGATTACCCTAAGCGCCGGCGGGCAACGGGGCCGCGCTTTCGTACCATCGGGAGCGGGCATCAGGGACGGTCTATCGGGGCCGCTTTGAATAGGATGCACTAGGAAGTTGCGCGTTGTCTTGACAAATGAGATTAATCGGTACCAAATACGGCGTCGGGGTTATTGCACTCGCGATTAAAGCCCGTTAATAAAACACCAAGGCAAATCGTTTCGCGCTCGCCGGAATGTGAAAGTAGATAAGTCTGCTGGCTGGCTAACATGGATAGAGGCTTGACCGCGCGCTCAATAGCCTAGGTCTCATTATCGAATTCACTCTTAATTGAGATTGGTTTCGTTAACGCGTTCGCGGCTGGACCAGTTCCGCGAACAGATACCCGGGGCCCCTATGTAAATGTCATTATCATGATCAACAAGTCGGAATAGGAGTCCAATTAGGTGGTCGAAACTGGTATATCTGTTTCGTGTGCTCTCGTTTAGATTCCCAGATCGTTACTAATGCAAATTACTATTATTGCTGCGGCTGACGCTGAATTTATTGGCGGTTCGGAGCGAAAAGCGACAGTGCTCGATGCAGGCTTATACAAAATGGTCCAGAAACACGAATTAATCGAGATCCCCTTTAACATATATCAAGGTCCCAGAGATGAAGTCATTAGAATTATAAATTTCTTCGTATGGAAT